ACATCTCTCTGGATCCATTGTTCCAAAACTGAATGAACCGACTTGGGCTCTTTTATCTATCTATTGAAGGTTCTGATAGGTGTGTGATCAATTTTGACTCTTAGTGTTTCCACGTGGGTAACTTTGTGCTAATTGAGCTCAAGCTATGCTGACTTGAGTGAACAATATTGAATGCTAGTGCTTTCTAAATGACAACATGGTCTAGGCAATGAGAAATTAAGGGATTTGTGTGTAGAGTTTTGCAGTGACAGTTCAACAAATCTGATTCATGTGTCAAAAAGGGGAATAGTGTTTATAGTTTAGGGAAATGGGTGTGCTTTTTGATAAATGGCGTTATGGTTTTGAAATTTTAGTTCAAAAGCCTGGTGATAGTGTTTAAGCAATTGAGAAAAACTGTAACATTAATGCATACAAACATCCACCTCAGAGCATAAATTATATTTTTTGGCCACAGCTAATGAGTTCGTGTAAGGTCACCTACATTTTCAGTCCAGTCTAATTCATTATTTCTGTATTCACAGCTAAGCCTGATGAGTTTCCACGCAAGCCTCTGGGTCTGGAGCTGCCCATTGTTCTGACTCCGGTCAAACAGCCCAAACCGAGCCCCTCAGAAGATACGCCCAACAAAGCCCAGCTCATCAAACGGCCACCTGCCTCTCTGCACATCTCTCTACAGCAGGAGTCCATCATGCTAGATGACAGTCTTTCACAGGAAAAGAAGTCTTACAAAGATGGAGGGACTGGCAGCATGTCTCCCCTCCCCTCACCCGACCCTGTTCTAGTGCACAGCCAGATTCCCCTCACACCTGATGGAATGATAGGAGCCCCTGAGGACGGCGGAGAATGGCCTCCTCCATACGAACCTCCTGTACCTGAGCTCAATGAGACCCAAAACCAACGGGAGATGTATGAGCCTACTTCACCTCCAAATGTGGATGATAAAAAGCCTTCACGAACATCCCAGAACTTAGAGCAGGACACTTTAGACACAGCAGGAGGCAGTGTGGCGGGTGATTTACCCTCAGATAATTTCGAATCTGTTTCCATGCAGCCTTCTGGTGTTTACAGTTCTGAAAATTATGAGGGACAGGTAGGGGATGTTGAAAGTCAGAATAAGGACAGTTTTTCAGAGAGACTCTCCACATCATGTGAGATCTCCTCAACAGCCTGTGAGCTGTCACAGTTACCTGCCAAACGATTCCCCACAGTCCATTCAGACCCTCTATTTCAGCACCCACCTCATTCCTGCCAGCACCTGCCCAAATCGGAGACATTTTAAGCTGCCAACTGACTTTTATTCAAGCTGCCACCTATGACAGAGATAAAGTCTTCATAACAAAAGTGAGCAGGCTCACTGTTTAATACACAACTCAGCATATAGACAATTGTTTTATGAACAACTGCCTTCCAACTTTTCTCTCGCACTCTTCAGGTTTGTACAGAACCGTCACTCACTTACACCACAACACCGCTGATGTCTTTGCAAATTTAATAAAATGGTGATAGCTGTAATGAAAAGATATGTTTTGAACCATGCTCTGCAATACGACTGATTTTCATTACAGCGATTTTCCACATTCAAATTCAAATCAACCATTAGTTAATATGCTATGACTTGACAGAATATTGTAATTATTTGTTAATATCACAAACCACTCCGTGTTAAATAATACAGTAGCTTATCCTTTCTGATAAGAAGGTAGAGGGATGTATTCTGTGGTAATTTGAATGGTCATGATCAAATAGGCTCCGTTTGTGATGTAAATTTTTTGCTGATACCAGCTTTATGGTAGGATGGCAATTTTGCAGTGTCCACAAGCCAATATTTATTATTCTGATAGAAAACATCATAAAAATTGTTTAATGGAATGAATGTGCAGCAGTCTGTCAGAGTATGTTTGTCTCAAAATTATTTGGCACAGTTTCATTGAGACAACTGCAGTGTCTTTATGATTTAACTTCCCAGCTGATGGCAATATTAAACATGGCCTTCAGTAAAATTAAACTATATTGTTTCTGGTTGTTTCTAAACACAACCTTCTGTACATTTGGTATTTGTACTTGTTTTTCATTTGTGTGAACATTTTGTACATTTCGCTTTTTCGAGTATTGTATTTGAATGCTTTTTGGATTTTGTATTTGTAACATAAATGACTTAAATGTCAGATTTGCTTTCTGATGGTCGCATCTAGCATAGGTTTACTTTTTATAAAAAGTTAACTGGTCTTAGAAGGCTGTGCCCAGGGTGTGCTTCAGGTTTACGATTTCAACTGGTTTGACAGATCAGATTCTGCTTTGAGGTAACGTGAATTGTTTTGCCAAACCATGTTTCTCATCACTATGTGTAAACCAGTACAGCTATTTTAAACTAAAAGAGAATAGCTGGGAAACCGTGAAAATAGGTATTCTAAACAGGTAATTATAAATTAATTACTTAACACATCTTTAAACAGGTTATCTAAGCATCTTTTCAAGCACCTTTATTGTACAGAATAACAGTGTAAACCTATTGTAAGTCGAGCACTGTATTGCTATTATGCCATTGTATTAAGACATTGATGATTTTAAATTCTGTTACAGCATGGACTCTTTCAGATGCCTCTGTACATTCAAAATATGTTTTCAGCACAGTATTTGAGTTATGGACAGTGTACATTCCTTTTTAAGGAGTTTTGAGAACTCCAACCAAAAGGCTTTGGTTTTATTCAGTCTGTATATAGTAAATATAGGCTATACCTATTTACTTTGTTATTCTATGTTTGAATTAGATTTGCATAAATAGAAGTTTTCTAATCTTCCTTGGACTGTGCAGATTTATTTCGAAATACACAAGACACAACAGATCACGGCAATGCTCCGTGTGACCACAAGAGGACTCTGGAAACACACCGTTTGTTTACAATAGATCCTCTCTGATTAGCTATCATTCGCACTACATGCCACGTTTTAGTTCCTTGTCATATTCTCAGCAAAAGTTCTTATTATTCATAATTTTTATTTTGTAATGGAAAAGTCTTCTGGTTAACTATAGAGTAAAAACGGCAATGGTTTAGATTTCCTTCCCAGTGAGAACACACGAGAGATTCAACATTCAGTGAGATATTTGCAAGCATCATCAGACTACCTGTAATATGAGGATCTTTCATGTTTCTTTCCTGCTCTCGGAGGACACTGACAGCATGTGGTGACACAGGTTTGGGTGATGGATGCCATGCTTTGGCAGATTGTGAGTGCCATACATCATGACTGAGCCTCAGTGATAGGGAGAAAGTGACAGAAATAGAGCAGAAGCGAAAAAAGATGACACATCATCACTCATCATCATAATTGAGCAGGTATTGATGCGCTCATCTGTGCTGAGATCTGCAATGCAACACTTCATACTACTATCAGACCACACTGATCTATTCAGCCAGTGTGACTGGCCTTTAAGTGTGTTTGATCTGAAGAAAAAAGAAAATCTCTCTCTCTCTCTCTTTAGATCGGGTTAAAAGATAGCAGACAAAGATATAAGGCAGCAGGACTGTCAAATTTAAAAAAAAAATCTTGTCAGTTCATTTTCATCTTTGATCTGATTTTTATCAGCCTCTTTGAACGGAGACTGTCAACTCTCAGGGTTTATAACCATTACAAGCTGAACATTAGCACTCAAACCACACACTTGGAAAAGTTGCGATTACACCTACCTCTCTGTCTCCTGCTTTGTGCCTGAGGTTATCTGTTCAAAGACCACTGGTGTTTCAGCATACAAAACAAGGAAGACAGACATCAGTTTTCAAAGGTTAGGCGCCTAAAATAATTGTTTCCAAAGGGAGCACCTTTAATCCAAACGTAGGCTACTCAGGGTTTTTCTAAAGGATGCTTCATTCGGACCGAACTGTTATCCAGCCCTCCTCCATGAGCCTTTAATAGTAGACTCTTCTGGTAGAAATTTAGGCATGGTTTAAAACTGAAACTGCTGTAAATATCATCATGCCTACATACTTAAAACAGACTTAAACATATAAAGAGATAGTCTCCCTTTATATAAATGCTAAGATGAACAAACTTGTGATTAGGATACTGCACTCTAAAAAATGCTGGGTTAAATACAACCCAGTGCTGGGTAAAATAGGGACAAACCCAGCAATTGGGCTGTTTTGACCCAGCGGTTGGGTTAAATGTTTAACCCAACCTTCTGAGTAGTAACCCAACCGCTGGGTCAAAACAGCCCAATTGCTGGGTTTGTCCCTATTTTACCCAGCACTGGGTTGTATTTAACCCAGCATTTTTTAGAGTGTGTATTGTAGGCCTACACAATAAGACTGTATGATTTGCTTCATGAAAGTAGCCTATTACGGTCTTACAATTCATATTTTCACACACACACAAAAAAACTGCTATGTTTTTCATTTCAGATCGGTCCAATTTTAGTGATTTAGATATTTAGATAGATTTAGATAATTTAGAGATATCCAAAATGATCTGAAATACACAATTTTATTCAAGCACTTTAAATACCACATATTTATAATTAAAATATATACATAAATAAATGGTTCCGCCTGTTATGCAGGGATATTGTATTCATAGTTTAGTAATACAAATGAATATGCATATGTTTAATGTAAATTAATGACAAAAATAATGCTTTAAGTGTGTCCTTTAAAACCAAGATCTGACCCAAGAATTGAGATTTTCGACATATTATGAAGTTACACTTAGGCCTATATTATAAAAAATTTTTATATGGAATCAAATAAGATCAGGGGACACATTGTCACCTGATTAAAAGTATTCAAGTTTATATTAGAAGACTATTAGGCTGTATTTGCCCATAACAGTGTGGATACATTTATAAACTTAAATGTTTTATAGCCCAAATCATTACATAAATGATTCATTACTCTAATGAACAGCAGTCTCAGTCTGAAGGAAGCCTGTAACTCACTTGGCCTCTGCACTACTTTTCAGAACCTTACGATATACCATTAGGCTACCCTATTAGTAATTTGTTTAAACTAGAGTAATTAGCGTCGTAAACGTCAAGTGTAAAGTGAATGAAGGAGCATTCAGCACTGTTCAGTGATCATTCTCGGCCCTTCAGGTAAAGCACGGTGGCTGTGCGCACAGGAAGGTAACAGCTCCCTCTATCCATCAGATGAAGACCAGGATGCAACTACGGGATGCGGTCGGACAAGTGCGCTGATGCTGCTGAGGGAAATATTTCAGTTTTCTTTCATAGATGAGAATACCAAAACACAAAGGACTTAAGACAAACGAAAATCACCCAAAACCGGGATTTAAGATGACACCACTCGAATATGTTTGCAGTCGTTTTTTTTCGTCTGTGAAACAGACCGAAGAAACAAAAGCGTGCTCGTGAATACCAGCGCGAGAGACACGAGACAAAACCAGAAAACAGCGATGCTTCATTTCTGTTTACAGAGCTTTATTTGTCTCCATCGCTCTTTTGCAATAAACACGAGACTAAACCGTGAAAAACAAATAATTTAACACCTCCACTGTCTGCTTATCACATAACGCGCCTGGAATAAGGATTTGGACAAAACTCTTATGGCAATAACGGGACTTTAAGATGAAAGCCTCTGTTTATGAAGACATATCGAAAATGAGTGCGTACAGTAAGTTTGACGGCTGCATCACCAAACCCGTTATTGTTTGGTAATGTGTGTGTTTTTCCTGTATTGACACTTCTAATAACAGATATGATGAACTGCCCCTGACTAAACCGTGAAAAACAAATAATTTAACACCTCCACTGTCTGCTTATCACATAACGCGCCTGGAATAAGGATTTGGACAAAACTCGTATGGCAATAACGGGACTTTAAGATGAAAGCCTCTGTTTATGAAGACATATCGAAAAGGAAATGAGTGTGTACAGTAAGTTTGACGGCTGCATCACCAAACCCGTTATTGTTTGGTAATGTGTGTGTTTTTCCTGTATTGACACTTCTAATAACAGATATGATGAACTGCCCCGCTTGTTATACCAAATATTGTGCTGGCTGGACTCAAGTGAGCAGTCAAGATAGACACAGTACAGCGCAGCATCAGGCAACACACACATCTCCTATGGTGACACCGGTTAGACATGCCAGTTTTACTGAGAAAAACAGCAATAATAACTGCCTGTGGCATTTATGACGAATGTAGGATACGTGTAGCTGTGTAAAATGTCATTTATATAAAAAAAAATAGACTACCTTTCAGTAGCTGCATCAGACTCGGAAGTTTAGAATGGCATTGCTGAAAGATATGCTCATTCATTAGCAAGTCTAAATCTGTTCTAATCTGGGAACTGTTATCAGTATTGTGAGTGTGAAACATCATTTCAATATCTTCTAGCTGTACAAGATCAATGCTGAAGGGGCACAAGTCTGAATTTTCCACTGAGTGGGTGATGTTGCTGTGATGAGGATGCGCTTTCCTCTGAAGAAGATCCGCAAGCAGTTCAAACTCCTTCTGCTGCTTGTTTTGCTTATGTTTGCCATTGGGTTCACGTATCTTCACATCAACCAAGGCAAAGCCATCAAACTCCACTTCAACTATGGGAAAGGTCAGTATTAATGAAACTGCACTATAGCCTTGAATGGAGCATGGAGCATTTCTCATCAAAAGACTGTAATGGCTACTGAAGCCATAATAAACATATCTCCAATATCTTTAAATGGGATTGTGCACAATAATTCAATTGTGAGAAGTTGAATGTGAAAATAAGACTATTCTTGCATATCAACTGAATCTTTCTATTGGGTTTCAGAAGCAGGTTAATGAGCAAGGCAGTGCAGTAAAATTGAGCTGTCCTTGTGCACAATAATTCAATTGTGAGAAGTTGAATGTGAAAATAAGACTATTCTTGCATATCAACTGAATCTTTCTATTGGGTTTCAGAAGCAGGTTAATGCGCAAGGCAGTGCAGTAAAATTGAGCTGTCCATTGCCAAAATTTAACCCAACAGTTGGGTTAGTCCATATTTGACCCAACATTGGGTTAAAACAACCCAGCATTTTTTAGAGTGCATGTATGATCTATAATGTATGATCAATAATGTATGATCTAAATTATGATTTTTCCTTTAGGTTAAAGTTTAATTATTGCTTATTTCTGCCCAGCTAACTGCTGATTATTCCTAAACTAATTTGTGCTCTGGGTTGTACAACCATTAGTACTCCAGATAAGACTCAAAGCGGCTCTGTGCAAAGATGATTTTCCTTTATGCTTTTTGAAGAGAAATTAAGTCTAACCCACAGGCACAATTTGATGAATGTCCTGAAAGGTACCAATTCAGTGACAAGAGTTCCCCTTCCTTTAATTACTGTCAGGAATAATCACTTACCACACACAATTCTAAGAGCACAAGTGGACTTTTACACATTTCCCTGTTAAACTTGTAGTGTGTGTGTGCGTGTGCACTGGAGAGGTTGATGTAAAATGCTTTTTACTTGTCCACAGTTATTTATACAGTAGAAAATATGCATACAATGTCTATTGTATAGTTAGAAATAATGAATGTCAGTACTCAGAGATTTTTATCTAGCTCATATGATGTGGCTTTTCTTCTCTCGACTGAATAACACTGCCTTAACTTGAGAAAAAAAGTCTTACATTTATGATATACAAAGATGTTTCAACAACAGTATTTAGATGTTAATTCCAATGTTCAGTATAATACAGATGTTGAACTGGACAAGTTATGATATGCATGTTATCAAATAATCAGCACATTCACTAATTAATAAACTTAATCAAAAGCTTAGCTGAGTTTGCATA